AACACAATAAAAAATAAAATAACAATAGGTCAGTTTAAATTTAGATTTCCAATGGTTAACTAAGATTGATATTTTCTCACTACAAAAGAGTAATATCACAATACTTAATGTAAATCGTTACGTTAAGATAAACAGCTCGTGCCTCGTTTTACTATTATTTAACTTATCACGTAGTATTTTTATATCACGTATACAAAACACGACTATAATTATTTAATGCCCTAATGTATATCAAGCAATTGTTTGTCTAATTCCCACAGCGTATTGTATGTAAATAATGCGATAATGTCCTTCCAGCTTGGGTCAAAATACATTTGCGCTACTATACTATGTATATTATGGTATATTATATGAACCTTATATAGAGTATTGCCTTTGACGTTAGTATCGTATAATGACAACGAGGATACTATACGTATTCTAATATACAAATATAAAGTCAGTATTTTTTATTTAAGTGTAAAATTTGTAGTATAAAATTCTTAAAGAAGCACATACATCTTGAAAAATCACCTGATTTTCTCTAATTCAAATACCTTCCCAGATAAATAAAGAACACAGCTGTAAATAATTTACTATACGAGCGAAACCAAGCTTGAATTCCATTTTGTCGAAGATACATCGTGACAAATCCAGGCCCGTGAAATATTTATGACTCCTGAGCTTGTCGATCTGATCGTCGATCAGCGGTGGCGAGTACCTGTCCTTCATCGTGATGGCATTTCGACGCACATTCTTTTTCGGTTCCTTGATCATCTCACCTACGGTCCTTCTTTTCAGCTCCGCGAGACGATAAGTTCGTCACGCATTTAATTTCGAGCGCCGTTGCGTCTGTTTTTCCTAAGTCGCGCGTCGACGACGAGTTGCAACACCGAAATTCGTCGATCAACGCAACACACTTCAGACGCGCTCTTTCCTCGATCTCACCAAATTGTAATTTGATTTTCGCGACCACTTCGCAGACTTCGACATCCCTTATCGTCGCGATTTGCTTGCGCCCGAGCGTAGGAATTTCGTTAATACGAAGATCTTGTAATATGAAGTTCCGTCCGACGATGACGGGATGCCGCGTGTATTCGTCGGCAACTACGAATGAGTCCACTTCGGCCTTCGCGTTTTGGATCGCGATCGTCACGCGAGCTACCATGTTCGCCACCACCGTTTATCCCGCAAACGTTCGAAGCAGTGCATCCGCGATAAACTTTGTCGCAATGCCAAGCTCTCTGGCTACCGACCAGTGCATCACGGTGTACGCACTATCCGTGTCAACGAGACTATCCATTCGTTTCCCGTTGACACACGCGCTAATCTCATATAAATTTGCCACCGGTTTTACGCGGTCGAGAATATTTATCCGTTTGCTAGTATCACCCTCCTTTGTTGCACCGCAACACCCCACCATCATCCACTCAGCATCCGTAGCCTTCCTTTCTCGGTCGTCCCCGTCGATTCCCGCCCTTGCGATGGCATGTCGCCGACGGTGTTAATAAACGCGTATAACGCTTTCGGATCATCATCATGCTGCGCCGAGCGTACGGTGTGGGCAACGGAGTCGTCCGGAATGCCACCGATCGTTATATCCAGCTGATACTTATCAGGTATGTCGATGTCCAACTTCCACAATTCGCATAGCTTCTGGAAACAATAGTCTCTTAAGTTCTGGCCAGGCCGTGCTTCATACGACGCTGCCTCCTTGAATAGACGGCTAAATGGTAGTTTCTGCGGCCCTGCAGTCGCGTGGCGATCAACCGCATCACCGACAAGTCGTCCCGATCGTACCGCTTGGCAAGTTCACTGCTCGATCACGACATCGTCCTTCAGGGGGCCGAATAGGGGGATTAACGTTTCGCCGCCGGGTCCACAAGCATTCGCTCCAGGCGGTCTAATCGGCCGTCGTTGGCCGGGGTTCTACGACACCCACGCGGTGAGCGCGAACGCGGACGCGGATCCTTTTCTGTCTTATCCGTAGCTTGAAAACCATACGAGCCGAATATAAGTAATATATACGAATTCTTCAAATGAAAAGCTGCACCGATATCTTTATAGCGTATTAACTTTTGAAAACAAAAAATTACCGCAGAAATCGTCGGTTTTTGGTGCCACGACTTCTCAGCAGAATTTTGTGCCAAATGATACCTTATAACGAGACACCAATCACAACAAAATTTCAAGTTACATCGATAATTAATTTTTGAGACAGGGGAGATCAGAGAAGTCAAAATTCATTAAAATGTGGCAGCCTTTATCAGCTTCGATATACGGACTTTGTGTCAATTGGACAGAGTTTTGCCAACTGCCAACAACAAATTTAAACTTAGATTTCAAAAATGCACAGTGGCCGAAGAAGAATGCCGGGTAAAGTATAATATTTGAACTACAAAATTTGTTACCCGAATGTGTCTTTTCGCGGATATTTTGGGTCGCTAAAATCGAAAATGACGGTCATTTTCTATGGAAATGAATGATTTTGAAAATTCGGTCTTACGAACATTTGGCCGACAAAGGCTTTAATTGTAGAAATCGACACAGGACCGCGACCATATCAAACGGTAAGCGATGAAACGGCAAAATAAGAGCCAATTTTGAGGTGAGCCCGTCGCTTACCCTTCTTTGACCCTGTAACACGGATTCAAGTAATATTACATTTATAAACGGTTCACTCTTACACTTTTCTTTATTTATGTGCAATAAATATAATGAATGTTATGAATGCAATAAACAAAATAGTCGTTTTATTAACAATTCTATAAGTAATTTTGTTTCTTCCATTTATAAAGTATGAAAGAAAAACTGATTAGTATTATCCCATAGTAATTCCGGTAGAGTAATTCCGGTTAAAGCTTACTTTTCGTTCTTTTCGATATTTCTTTCGAATGATTAACCTTATTCATTGCATATTTTATCATGATACAAAGAATAAACTAATTTACCTATTTCGAACAGTATTTTTAGCAAATTTGAGGATTCAAGCTTGTTTTCAGCTAACTTTTCTTAAGCGATCGATATTCCCCCATTTTTCCCTACATTGGAACCAAGATCATCTATTGTACTGACATTAATCTTTCTTGATTTTGATTTTTCGAAATGTTGATGGATACATTAGATACATTAGAACTGAATATATGCATCGCATGATATGGGCCGTATCCAGTGGTCCAGTGAACCATGCAACCGTTATAACGTGGCTGCAACAGTCAGCAGTTTCGAGCACTATTTCCGCACGCGCAGTAATATTATGCGATTGATTCTCCTCCGGCTTTAATTTTATCGATAAATATGAAAATGTGCGTTGCCTCCCACTAACAGAGAATTTTCAAATGAAATCCCATATCTTACATAGTATGATGCTGCTGTTCTAAATTTGACCTAAGTTTTTCGCAACAATCAATGTATTGGGAATGTTGTTGATGGAATAAAGCTTATATAGCAGGTATTCTTTTTAATATTGAAGAATAAGCAAAAGGTTCGTGCAATTCTTGTGTCTTTTAGGATCATAAATACGTATTTATTCCTCAATATTTATATTGGCCCCTTCAAAGTAGTCCCCATTAACGATAATACATTTTTGTCAACGATTTTACCAGTCCATGAAACATTTTTGCAATTTACTTCGTCGTATGCTTCTTTGTTCGCACAACGTTTTTCGTTTTATGTCTTTGATGCTTTGAGATTGTCCTTTCACAGATTTTTTTCAGTTTTGCGAAAATAGAAAGAAGTCGTACAGTGCCATGTCTGGCGAATAACAGCTCTATCATATCCATTTATATCGATCTGACGGTAGTTGAGAGATCATAACCGAGCTTTACCGAAAAGTTTCGAACGAGTAATGACGCGTGAGCACATTTCGTTTCAAGCATTCACAAAATCGACGACATCACAAGGCTACAACTTACTTAATAGAAAACAAAATCTGAGATATATAATCGATCAATCTGAATAAGCAAACCGAAGTAGGTCACAAACAAGTGAATCAACAACATAAAATAATCGCCTTTTCAATCAGCACATTCTAGAGCGGAAAATTACAAAATTGCACGGATTTTTTTTATCGCAAGATCGTATCGTTCAGCACGTGGAAAGGGTCATTATGAATTTTGAAAATCTTTCAATTCGTCGTTAGTAGTTGCAAAAACCCTCGGAAATAGCTTTTTAAAGTATTGAACTGGCCTAAAGTCCGCATATCGAAGCTCGTAAAGGCTGCTGCTTTAATGAATTTCGATTTCTTTGATCTTTGGTATTCTAGAAGCGAATTGTCGGCTCAAGTTGAAATTTTATTGTAATTGATGCCTCGTCATAAGGTATTATTTGGCACAAAATTCCGTTCCAAAATCGTGGCACCAATATAATCCCAAATAATCCCTTCTTCTTTGGATTATTCGTTTATCGTGTCGTGATACTCGACGGTAGCTGTAATAAAGGGATCTCGAGTCACCCTATTTTTAACTTTGATACTAATTTATATTCTGCTAAAAATACTATTATTTTTGGGTGTCCGTACATTTTTGTAAGGTAGTATGTGTGTTAGTTATACATAGTCGCATCAACTATGAGATCATTAGCGACTATTTTAGGTTATACGCTGAAATGCATCATCGTGGTACTCGCGTACGCTAAATACTCTAGAGGCTCTAGTGCTCTAAGCTACATAGATATCTCTTTGTTCGCTCCAAGATACTAGTAGCCTAACGCCTTAAGTGCGTATAACTTATTTCGATATAGCTTAAGTTATGGAAAGTATAAAACACTTGCGAGATAATCAGAGGAACCGAAAGAATACTGTCATTTTTCCAAAATTACTTTTAAATTAAGATGCAAAGCATCGTGCAGACTGAAAGTTCACATTTATTTATTTTTTCTTTTAAGCTTTTCGTTGTTTTTTTAGTAAAATCAAACAGTAAAGTATACAACACACGAATGATCGCGATATCAATGTTTATTTATACATACATAATATACATTATAATAAAATGTAAAATAAAACGTATTCCTCCCCTTCTTACTTTTCCATAATTCTTTTATTTCGTCATTTTCTTTGCACCTTTGTCGGTATACATAAAAATAGTACACTTATAAAAGTTACTTGTATTACGTGCAAAGAAATAACGTATAATAAACGAGATTGAAGAACGTAGAAAATACAAGTTTACTAAGATTAGCAGTAGTCTTTTCATATTAGGATTTATAAAGCGACATTCTAGTACATGATGTTCGTGGCAGGCATTTAGAACAAGGTCAATATGATCAGTAGATTCGAACGATATTAGACAATACAACATAGAAAGTGTATTTAATATTTTGATGCACAACTGGAAATGTCGTTCATGACACGAGATCTTACGAAATTGCATAAATTCAGTAAACAACCTCCTAATAATGTTTTAACAAGAATCTTATTTTAACTATCGATATTTTGAAATGCACAATTTTAATTAGAAGTATTTTAAGATCATTGTATCGAAACTTAATCACTTGTTATGAATTTGAAATTATAACGACAAATCTCAATCAGTTTTCTTATATTTAAAACACGATAGAATAATAATTGAGAATGCTATCGCAAAGATTGAATATACTGAATTTACGGGAATGCACACACATTCGGATATCGCATGTCAGAAATTTATCAAGGATTATCGCTTACGGTTGTAAAACTCTTCTTTCGTCTATGTTGTATTGTTCCAGTTTATTACACATGAGCTTGCGGTAGCTAGTACGTGTCTCATCTTGATCAGTATCTTCTGTAGGGTTCTTCTTCTTCAGGGTGAGCCGCGTTATGAGCCAAAGCACGTTGTATCGCTACTGGAATCGGTGGTGGTGTTGGTAAATGAGCACCATTAGGTTGGAAACCATTCTCGTCAGCAGTGTAAGTAACCAAAATCGGTGTACCATCTGGTGCGGTATAACTAAATTGTCCTCGTACAGATTCAATTTGATTTGGTCCAATAAACTTTGGAACGCCTTGTTCTGCTACGGATATACCATTTTCTGTATCGTAACTATAACAATGTACATAGATAATTTAGAAACCTTTCCATACCGTGCTTTATCGTGCTATATAGAAAAAAATGATGCAATTTTTTCGCACAACATTATAATATTATTATAATACTCATTTTCAAATATTCATTTTCTAGTTTTGCGAATTAATTTATCGCGTATATTATAAATAAAATTTTATGTTGCTTTATAATCTTATTTCGGTACAACAAACGTATTTCGTTATAACTATATTGTAGTTTATATTAGTGTACTTCCGAAAGAAGAGAAGGGAAAAGATCGATTGTTATAAATATAAATTTATATTAAAGATAAGTAGAAAGTAAAAAAGAAAATTTTTTCATACGACGCTTTGTTTCTGAGAAAATCGAGTTTGAAGATTTGTGAAGTATACTTTAACTTGACCAAATGCCGATTAGGTACGAGTTGACAATTAATAGGAAGTTATTATACATGTGAAAATATGTGAAAAGTGTAAAATGTAAAACTGATTCGTTATAAAGAGATCGATATTGGTTATTTTTCGAAGGGTTGTCGTTTCGTAAAAGTACCACCTGCAAAATGCAAGACGTTAAACGTTATATGACATAGGAGAGGCCAAGTTCTAGGCGCGATCTTCGGATTGTACATTGTACGTACAGTAAGTAGACAGCGGCTACCAAGTAGGTAGGTAGGTAGGTAAGTAGGTAGGTCGATCGTAATTATTCTATTGTGTAATGTATTATTGCTAACTGCGCAGCCGACTAACACGAATGATTAACATCAAAGCTAATTATATATCTTTTCACAGCTGAATATCCTGTAAGTCCTTCCTTTCCTTCTTTTTCACTTCTCTGTTTACGCTTCCGTACTCTTCATTTTCAATTTGTATTTGTTCGTGCGTTGCATTTAACGGAACAAGCTATGGAACAACCTAATTGATATTGGAAAATTATATTATATATATTTTTCAGAATTCACGTACCATCTTCGTATGTTACATTTATCGATTGAAATAATTATTTTTTTTAAATTACTAGCACAACAAAAATAAATAACGTATTAATAAAACAAAATATTAATAAACATCTACTTGCAAATATTTGCAATTCTAATATTTTTAAGTAAAAATCTATGGATTAAGGTTCCTATAAGTGAAGAGAGAACAGATAGAATTTAATAGAATTTAGATTATAAATTGATATTTTTAAATATTATGATGATCAAAGGAACTAATTTAGTATTTTAATAAAGAATTAGTAGAATTAAATAGTATATTAAATTAGAATATTTTAATAGTGAGAATATAATAGAATATACAACTTGTATATGTAAGTATGTATATATGTATAATATTAAAAATAATATTGAAACAATTAAATACAAAGATCGATATTTTTCTATTCAAAAGTTTTATATTCAAGGAACAAAGAAGATAATATTTCAACGTTAATTTCAGTAATTTTAAACAGCTACGTTAAGGATATCTAAAGTCAGGAACATTTTATCACAAGATAAGTTAGACTAATTTTAATAAATATATTTATATATAGATTTACAAGGTCATTGTGTGATATTTATGATAGATATATAGGAGTTCCTAACCCACTTAAGGAATCAAAATTATTCGAGTGTTTTACAAGAATAGATGTTAACTTGACCTTAGATTTGTTCATGACCTTAACGTATTTAATTGTGGTTGGGAAAATCCAAGTGCAATAGAAAGTTAAGTTACTACACAAATCGCCAAATACCGGTTAACTGTGTAAAATTTGTTGCAGTCTTTCGAATCGAAGTTATCGTTTATGCTATATTTTGCATTAACGGATGCACATATTTGCAATGAAAAAGCGATAAGACTAAATCAATAACAACATATTCTATTCCCGAATTGGTTAGAAAATACATCGTGAAATTTGTTGCTATCTGTCTAACCTGAACATAATGTTGTAATGCAGAATGTAACAAAAACTGTTAGGGACATACCCGAGATGCGCACATTTACATAATTACTTCGTGAAAATCAAACTCTAGCGTGGGAGATAGAACGAATATAATAGATAGGATACGTAGGCAGACGTTTCTACAATATCTTCAAACGTACAAGTTTTATAACTTCATAATAGCAGTTACCGATTTTTATATGCCTAGCGAAATATTAATGTAAGCACTTATTATAGAATCAAAGGAATATGAATATCGCGTATGTTTAATTAATCATAAGAAAAAAGATGCTTGCAAAGGGTAAAAATTCAGTAAGTATAAAATTATACTTTTTGCATCTCTCTCTCCCTCTTTCGCTATATATATTATTCTTACGTCATTATGACATGTACGTAATTTTGCATATTTTTGATATATTTTTCATATGTACAGAATTACGTATACATTTTATGACATATCGTTAATATCCACTAAGACACGCGTTAACGCAATATTTCATTTGCTAATTTTTTCAATCAACTTACATTATCGAATTCTGTTATCGAACGGTGTACGTACTGTTTCTTCCACATAGACTTTACGTTTCTAATGAAAGTTATGAAATATAAAGTAGTTGATATATTTATAACATTATGATAAATCATTGGTTGGTCCTGGTAATAAAATAAGGTAAGAGGAATGCAGAGCCTGTAATAGACTTGAAACAAAGAATGACGTGAACAGATGACAAAGTGTTTTTAGGATTGAGATTATAAGCGAGCCTCTTCGAGCGTGTCGAGATTGCTTTTGAGGAAACGTACCTCGACGACGCTTATCGTTCTGTCGACGTTCAGGACGATGTGGAAGGACGATCTCACCTGTAGGAATACGATCCATCGGGAGAAGAATCTTGTGACTGTCGTAATATAGCGAAACGTCGACCGTAGTAGTCAGGGTTGTATGGGTATCTGTTGAATTGTGCACAGACCATCGTTGTGAATCCCAAAAAGACCTAAGAGAGAACGTAAATGAACTTAAGTGCCTTTTAAAGCTGTCTGTTTTAAATTGGACCACTTGTTTCCATATTATTTACATCAGGTATTGAATATGTTAGTCTATGAAATAAACAATTTATTATACTTGAGGGTTATATTTTTCCTTAAGGAGAATGAAACGGTTGATCACGCGCACAAAAATGTGTATAGAAATGAGATTCGGAGGAGACAATTATAATTTAAGAAAAGGTTACGTTTTAAATGTTTCAGAAGAGAAGAAAAAGAATGTCAATTTTATTTTTCTTATTATACTTCGATTAACAAACTTTAGCGAGACACAAGACGATTCGTGCGTCCTTGAAAGTACACGAAAAAAATAGATAATCTATTATGTACATACATATGTGTACGTTTAAAAAGTATCGTCTGTCATATTAGCACGACGTAGAAATGATATTTAATGAGAAAAGAAAAAAACATTTTTGATACGAAGGGAATCTCGTAAGTGTTCTAACAAAAAGTTGTGACAAAGATATAAACTGTTATGAAAACGATGATGAACTTATTTTCAATGCAGCGTGGAATTGATTATTTTTTTTATTGACAGGTTTATAAATTAACATTTCATTTGTCGCATAATTCACTTGTATATATGTTTTTGGGATAAGTGGCAAACTAATTACAATTTTCCTAGTTATAAATAGTAATAATATTTTTCAGAGCCGTGTGAAATGTTAATATGAAAATATCTTTGGAAAAGATGGGAAGAGTATTTCTCATTTTGCAATAACGTAATAATTAATTTGTAGATATATCTATGTTTTTAATTGACTTTGCTTTTCACACAGAATAGCGTACTTGCCCAACTGCATAGATCGTATATTAATAACAAAGAAGAACTAATAGAATGAATCGCACGTGGGCAGACAGCTATGTAAGTTATGAATAATTATATGCATCTGATGCGCTGCGTATTTTATCTTCTTTATCGATCTGTTCGTCTAACGCTAATTATATTGCATTATTAAGGAAATTTTATTATTTAATAGAAAATACGTGCACATAAACTGCCGATTTATTTCTCTATTTATTAACTTATTACAGTTATTTAAAATATATGTCTTTCAAATAGAAGCAAACTCGGTTTCAATCGAATTCAATGAATGCGATGTATGCGATATGCATAAATGTCTGTCCCTCACATACATCTACACAATTTTAACGTACTTACGAAATTAAGTCAGTGACGCGATTAAATTTAATTGTATAATCAAGATTTTAAGTTTGTAAAATAATGTTGTGCCCTTGAGTTTGTGCAATGTACGTGAAGTTAAATAGTTAATTTTATATTTGAACGTATGTATGTTACATTAAATATAATTATTGTCGTACAATAGATCAATCTCTGATTAAATGTAATCTTAGATTAAATGTTATCTTTGGTGGTGCAACGTTTTATTCATCATGTATTGGTTTGAAATTATTATTGAGATCGCCGAAACAAAACTACGAGACATTTGGAAGAAAGACGTTTCAAATAAGTCAAGATATACTAAAACATACCTTGTAATTTTATAATTTTATAATATTAAAACAGTATTTTATAATATTTAACATACATTGCACATAGTTTATAGTATATTTAGAAAATGATGCTTATAGCATTCGGGATCTGTAACGATTCTAACAATTTTTCATAACTTGATCGATGCTGTGGTTGTAATTGCTAGGGAATATGCGAAGAGATAGGAAAATGTTGTTAAAAACGGATGTAGATGAATTTTATGTTTGACCGATAAACATATTACTAGATTATTTGTTTTTTAATAGGCGTTAGTAATGGGAATGACAGTTTTTGTTAATCGATAGGTTCAGAATCGTTAAATGTATGTAATTGTCAGTTGTTTAGAAAATGTTAAGACAGAACGCGTGTATTAAAGACGTTGGTTATTTGGTTTCATTGTAAAAGTTACTCAGTAGGAACAAGTTCTTTAAGAACTGTACCTCGTCACAGGAATCGCATTAATGTGTATTTAAAATAGGATGTAACGTATTTAATAACTTTAATAACGAACAAAACTTGCGTAACATTTTCCAAATTTCCCCTTGTTACAGTTATAGAGATATTTTTGAAGTATCTTGAGGATTATGTATTTTAGTATTGACTAACAAATTGAAGGTAATGGGATTAGAGTAATACATTGCACTCACAAAAATCTTCATGATGACTACGCAATAGCAAAGGTTGAAAATCCTTTAATTAGTCACGAAGCCACCAGGCACGACACGATTTTTTAAAAGTAATATTCAATCACGGTCCACTTTGATCTTCGAAAAGACACGTGATAAGAGTTCGTCCTATCCTGTAGTGCTTAGAAGTACGACATCAGACGGATTACGATGAGGTTTTATAGTCGCCACAGTCCTATGCTTCTACTTCCTTCCCGCCCCGCCACTGATTCAAACAAGTTGAAGGGGAAAGAATATGTTTCATCTATTCGTATAATCTATAAATAGGGTAGCGATTACGTTCCTAACGAATATTGCCGATTGGCAAGGTATTTGCGCATTTACATATGCTTATATACTTTAACTTTGCTAATTTATAACAAAATAAGGTTCTAAACAAAGTATAAAGAAATATAATAAAACGGGGTTACATTTTTGGTAATATGCAATGGAGTTTCGAAACATCAAAAATAACAAATTTCCTATGTTTCGTAAAAACATTTATAACTGCGTATATCCACGCAGAATGTTGAAGAAATACAAGAATCTGCTATATTTATTCATTTAACATATATTCATTAATTTGTCTATCATTCGATTGAGGTTAGGTTGTGCTTAGGTTGGGGTTAGGACTAACCTTTTCGTAAATATTAAAAGTTTTTAAAAATAAACATCGTTTTGTGCATATATGAACGTATATTCGTACTTAACGATCAGTTATCGTGCAATTCGATACAAAGTACAATTTGGATACTGAATACCTTTTTCTTAATCTTAACTGAGGAATTGCTTCAATATAGAATACTTGGTTAGAATGTAATAGTATAAATATGCAATGCGTAATGTATAAGTCTATTCATTAAAAAAGAATAAACTCGGAGTTATGATAATTGTGGTGAAAAGATAAAGATAACTAGGTCTATATTAGGACACATATTTTACAACAAAATACGGTATAAGAGAATCTTGTTATAACATCAATTGAAAATATAAACAGATATTGTTCGTAATTAAGAACCTATAGACAGTCTTTTACTTAGTTCGATTTAATTGTCGTTGTCTCTAATATAGTTTTTAATAAAAGTTTCAGTCAAATAATTACTACTCTACTCTCTTGTTCCAATAATATTTACCAAGCATTTAAATATCGTTCTGAAAGAGAATTCTAAAAGGAACTGGAGTTTTCAAAAAAAAAAAAAAAAAAAAAAAAAAAAAAAAA